GTAGGTTGTGTCGTTGCCATGTCTTTTGGTGCTGTTACCATCTCAACCGGTTCAGAACACAATGTTAGCAAAATCTTGATATTAATAATGTTCCAAATTAGAAAACGAAGAATCAACATGTTGGGCCAAGGAAAAGCATAGGCAATACTCCACGAATGCAGAAATATCAAAAATATTAAACATGAAAATTAATTTCAAGACTAAAAAATATATTGAGAACTTATATTATTATAAGAGTTCTAATATACTTGAAACCTCTTCAAATCTGGCCTTTTCCTTCAGAAGGATATCACATAAGGGAAGTGATTGCAAGAAATTATGATTTCAGGTGTTATTGATTCTGAATAACTGAATGTTTATTTCTTAATATCATTGTTTATATAAGTTAAAAATCAGGATTAAACCTATCTAACATCACATACTTTGACCTGTGCCATATAATACTATAACAAAGAGTAAATGAAACCAATTTCAGACATTTTACCCCCTAACAAGATTTAAGTCATAGTTTGTTTAAGAAATTCATGGGAATTTTCTTTATTATACTATTTTAAGTCTCCATGCATAATCTGCAGATAATCCATTTGCTTCAATGCTTCATTAATCTCCAATAATCTCCAGAGTTAATCTGAACCCACAATGTAAAATCTCTATTAAAAGTTGCATTGTATGAGAACATTCTAAGTTTTCCCAGTGATTTCGGAATTAAACACCAGTCCCTCCTGTCTGCTCATTATTCAAATCTACTCCATTTACCTAAAAGTCCTCATAAAAAACATGATGTCTCTAAATGGAAATTGACATTAGGATCTCTCAATGCAAAAGGTCATGAGAAGTTATTCCAATATGAGATTTCCGAGGAAGAAAAAATGCTCGGAAATTAGATTATGTAAAAGTGTAGTGACGCAGCCCTCAATCCAGACCCAACTACTGTTGTGACTATAAATGAGGAAGACCCAGCCAGAACATTGCATCTGTCAATTATTAGCCATCTCTAAACATTTAACAATTCATAATTCTTCATATTTGGGTTTGTACGAGTTACATTACTCACATATTCCTCTATTTTTCACTGCTCAGCAAGCTGAAGCATGCATTGGTTGGTATATTCTCGCAAGAGCTGTTATTTGATGTCTCGGCATCATTATATTAGGGGGATTAGAGTCAACTTGCTATGCAGCAATAATGACATAACACACTACAATGATACCATAATTAGATTCCATATTTAGAGCCTCAACATTAGACACCCCACCTTATGTTCAGTTTAATGAAACTCATCCCAGACACAGGAGAAAGGCTAATATTGTTAGATTCATGAATGACAAAATAAGTTTCACAAGCTTTAAGTAACTTATGACACCTCATAACATGATTGTTTGTAATTCTGATATTTCATTGTAGAAATAGTACTTGCAGTTATAGTGGTTCTGATATGAGGTGTGGACAATGGCAGGATTACATGAAATAAATCACAATTAAATCACATTTCAATTCAGCACATACCAAATAAACCAAACAAACCAGCAATATTACCCCTCAATTATAATTCCTCTTAGACAACTTATTCCAATCATTTTGGTCAAAAATCATCAAGAGAAAAACATATAAAACCAGAAAACATGTATACAATTGTTCAACTTAAAAAAAATGTTTTCTTTTTCTAGTATTGTATTATTTTTACAGTTATATGTATGGTGATCTGATATGATTGCTGTAAGGACACACGGTTTGTAAGATGTAAGCTACAATAGACTAAACTCTTCAATAAAGCAAGTTTCTTGTTCCAATATTTGCTGAAAGTCCTGGACATTTACTCAGCTAACAGTGACCATTAAGGCAATATTCCTGCCCTCAAATATTACTCAACTATCAAAACAATATTCATCAAATAAAAAACTCACATGTGAATTTTAAAAACACTTAGTTGCCAGGAATATTGATGATACTTCAATATTCAAGAAGATGGGAGAAATTCAATGGTTATATCGATGTATAGAGAGAAAATAGTGGAATCAGTATGATCATGGTGGTATGTTATGTTTAGCAATACATTAAAGCTGGCATTCAAGAGTAGATATCAAGCAAACACTCTATCACTTCCCAGGACCATCCATCAACATCAATACATGCATGCATGAAAGCTGTGCCTTCTTAAGACTATTGTGACATCACAGATGAACCCTATGAAGAGTCATAAAGATCATACGCTGCAATGTGAGAATTGAAGTATGTGGGGGATGTTAACAGAACAAAGTTAGCCTTATAAGGAAAAATATTTTTACTTCCAAATTGATAAATAGAAGGGGAATGGGAGGGCTTGAACCATAATGAAATTAATTTTGTTTTTCACAACAAGTGCCAGCATTTGAAAACCAACCCTAATGACTGACAAAACATGAAATTATATGATGTACTTGCTTCAAATGTTGACAGACACAATTTAACAACTTTTTGGCAACAATACATCAATTTGTACTCCATTGGCTTAAAATTGACAACATATAATCTATAATTTTTTATCTCAAGCATTAAGCGTGTTGGGACATCAAGTAATAAGCGTGTGTGTTTCACTGTCATTATGTTGATGCAAGGCCAGCAGTTTTCAAACCCCATTGTTCGCCTTATATCCACAGTCCATGGTTCTATATAATCTGGCTCATGTTAATCCTGGGTTGTGCAAGAATCTGCAATATCCAGTCACTGACATTACTCAAGCCTGAGTTCACTATAGGGGCAGCTGTCACGCGGGTTCAATGGAGGTATACAGTATTAATATCATACCTAACCACAACTGAACACCGATCAGTTTGAATGGGGCAGCATATTTGGTCACAAGTTTTGGCCTAGGAGGGTCAGAGGTGCACTTTAGGGGTTGAAACATATAAGGACATCTGTTACATTAGAATATAATACACCAACAATGTATCCAGTCATACCTATTGTTAAAAGGTATTCTAACCTCCAAGTCCCCTTCCTAACATATTTCAAAAAGTATCTGTTTATATCATCCTACACATCATGATAAGCACATCAAAGATGTATTCTAGCATGGTATTTAATCATCAACAGTATAATTTCTTGATTTGACATATATAGGTCCTTTTATCCATACATATTCAACACAACTGTCAAGATTTCTCAGATGCAAGGGTTAATAGCCAAAAATGAGACAAATATTTTCCATGGTTGAGAGGCATTCACTATTAATTTAAAATTGTTCAGTTGAGCCTGCACAGGTCACCCTGGCTCTTTTTTGAAAAGGTAGAGGTCTTGGTGGTTCTTTTAATAGGTCATTTACAGTTCACGTGCTATAGAATTAGAACTCTTGAATATTGGCGGTTAATTCATGGGACACTAGCTATACCACAGAAAGTGTGACCAGATAAATATAGCTTTCATAGTAAAGAAATGAACTTCATAGCAATCACCCAACAATTACAAAATCTCCATTTGAAGAATTTATTTTTCAAATACTGACCCAGATCTGTTCATATTTAACGGTATATCTCCAGTGAACTTCATTTTATCACATATCACCCACTTATATCATGCAGCATTCATAGAATGAGAGTATCAGGCAATCACATTTATTCAAAAGTTTGTGTGGCACGATCCAAGTGCAAATTAGAGCCTGTATTATATCAAAACAGATGTCTATATAGCAGTGACTATTGCATGAAATATTTCACCTGGTATTGAGTCATATAATTCTACCAGGCCAGGGCGTTCTACCCTAATAGCTTCAACAAAATACCAGTTGAGTTTAGACCTAAAAAGTTTGTTGTGCCAAATGGGACAAATACTATTCTATATTTTGATATTTATAAAGTGTTAGTAATACACTAAATCAGGGATGTCATATCATCATAATTCAAAAATAAAATACCATTTCTTGAAGTGTCTCTCATAAACACAGTTTCATCCCATTGGTTAAACAACTTGGAAATAAGAATTATTAGCTTCTACTGGTGTTATTCATACAAACCTGATACAACATTAAAATAAAGTTCTAAAAACAAACAATTTTTATGAAAACACAACAGTTGTTAATATAATGGATTAAAACAATATGAATAGGTTTATATAAATCTCTATTAAACAGTTATTATAACAATTCCATATATCCAGATGTTCTCTATATCTTGATAAAGTCACCTGTAATTAAGGCAAGGTAAGCAGTTCACAGGTAAGAAAACATCTGCCACTAAACCTACAGGTGGGTTAACCTATAACTTGGAACTCTATACCAGTGGCCGGCCAGATTTTTGTCAAGTGACAAAAACAGTTTTTTGTTATTGTAAAAATCAATTTTGGAAATGAAAGAAGGTCAATCTCAAACTGAGTAAAAATATAAAAAATCAAAGACCAGGAAACTTCTTTACAAGCTCATTCCAGTTGTGAACTACTTCCTTTTTTAAGAATAAGTTTTAATGTTAAAAGGGTTAACCTAAATAGTAGCGTGTGGAGCTAGTACAATGCTTACTTATACCATTCGCAAGCCACATAAAAAATGAACTTATTTTACAAAGGTCCAAATCTGATGAACTTACAAATAAGTGGTTTATAGGCAGATGTTTTTGAGCTTCATGATACATACACATTATCAAAATAATGTTGGTATTATCAATGAACAAATGACCATACACTGACATATGTGTAGTAAAGCACCAAGGCCATCTATGCTACCGTATATCTTAATTTGAACTTTCAATGCTTATTATACTGTAATACAGATATATAAAAATGTTAGTTGAAAGCATCCTTGGTCCAAGTGTTTTTCATTTTATTCATATACATGTAGCAAGAAGCCTGATCTTAAGGATGAGTTGAAAGACATAAGTAGAATGAATCATATGACCAGAATTAGAAAAAACATTCCGGTTCTCTTGATACCAAAAGTATAAATACTTGTAACTGATCACATACTTGTTATAGAATATAATAGAACTGTATCATATGCAGAGTATTAATAATTAGGAAATATAAATATGACTTACTCGCAAAATGCATCACCCTGTGAATTGAGCTTGCATACAGCACCGTGGTTACATGGATTGGGGGTGCAGGATGGTACAGCTGAAATAAAATAATGGTACAGCTTAAAAAAAGCATTGTACAGCTTAAATAGCAAGGTTAACAATAAATTACAACATGTTAGCAGATTTTTATATAAAAGGATACAAAAATATAGTTTGGTGTTTCCTTGTGTTGCATTTTGTATTTACCAAATGTAGAATTAGTATTTACAAATAAGATTTCTTAAAACTAAATATAAACTGATTTCAGTTGGAAACTTTGAAATAATCAAATACTGATTCAAATGTGTGACTGTTATAAACGTTGACAATCAGAAAGGAAATGACACAATAAAACATGTTTGGAAACTTGACACACCAATAAACCTGGACGTTTAGGGAACAAATAAACTCAGTGTCATTAACCAACCATGTGAAAAATAAACCAAATCTAAATCATAGTGTACAACAAATATTTACAAGTTGTGTTTGATTGATCACTGAAGAATTTATAAAACTGGACAGAATCAGATTATTTGTGTTAAAATGTTGAGTAAACCATGATTTGTACCTATCTGGTCAGTATCAAAATACAAGCCTGTGTGAAAGTGTATTTGTAGTATTAGTTAAAGTACTCTACCTTGGATTTTGATATGCGGATGACTTCATTATGTAGGATAATATTTTAGGGCTTTAAAATTTTTATGTCACAATTGAGATTTTTGAAATTTCATTTGAGGTGCTTTGAATTTATATACTGGGTGACCCAAATGTAGGTTTATAGTTACAGTTTACTGAAGAACTATCAACCTACTTTTTAGCCACCCTGTATTTAGATGTGAGGAATGAATTCTAATGGTGAGAGAGATCTGACACCAACGCATCACATAAACTGTGAAACAAAAACAAGATCTAACTTATTGTTAGTTTTACTCATTCAAAACAAGATTCAGTGTGATAATTATCACAAGAGATTACCTTCAAGAGATTATATAGAATCCTGGCTGAACAGGCACTAGATAGGAACACCCATTTTGAATAAAAACAAATGCCAAACAAACAGAACAGGAACATTTTCAACATAGCTAATAGTGATCCCAACATTGTACATATAGATGTCAAAGATTCTTTGTGCAATAAGAACTCCATATTTAGAAACAGTACACCAAGAACTGATCAAATTCCTTTCAATTAAACATTAGTATTGTTTTACATCCTTGTTTCCCGCTATTTGTACCAATATAAGCTGTTTATAGGGCACTATAGCACCCAAGGACTTCCAGGCAAAACCACAATCATTCAAATTCAGCAAAATTTATGACATTTTATGTGAATATGGAATTCCACCCGGTTAAGTAAAACAAGTTTATTTTACAACATCTGAATTTCTACCACAAGTTTGTTTATATTACTCCTCTTTCATCTGGACGTGATAGAATATATTTTGTATACAGATTGCTCTGAATTGAATACAGGTGAACAAGGACAGATGACTTTTACTTGGTCAGTAGTTTACATCTAACTATCAATATAAGTGAAGGGTAGAACGCAGTTTATCACCCATTCTACTTTGAGGTTATTTGCTGGCTGGTAAGATTAGATGAGACTAAATCAACATTATCCCATTTTCTCCCAAAAGAGTAACCTCTAAGCTATGTAATCATTTAGGACATTGTAAAATGGAACATTTCGAGTCATCATGCAATAAGACAATGGATGAATGTTTTAATGTGGACTCAAAAGAATATAGGCCTAGGTCATGTTAAAAAATATATCTACCATAAACAATATGTTGTTCTTATTTCCAGTTTAAGAGAATATTCTACAAGACTGTTGTTCTATGCCTGACATTCTACACATAGCAAACCCACATTAGAACCATGCAGCTGTCTTTGAACAAATCGTGGCACCAACTTGACCTTAATTACTACCACATTTCAAAGGGTAGATCTTTTTAAACCCAGAGGAAATTTGCAAAGGATTTAAAGATATGGGTTCATATCAAGGGAAAGAGTTAGGAGAACCGAGGACCTGATAACTGTGAAAGGGATCTTTGTTCACCCTACACTTACTGGTGGACAAATCTTTTCAAACATGTTATATTTACCTCTGTTTTCTTAAATATTTTTTTTTGCAATTATTACTTGTATACCTTTGTAAAATAGATTACATTTGAACAACAAATATAAATAAAACAAAGTGAAAAATACCAGCGAACAATCCTGTCGAATTATCCAAGAAGTGAAAATCAAAAATGTAAAAATATCAGAGAACAAAATGTACACAATTACATAGGATGATACTGATCTAAATACCAGAGATGATATATTCAACTGTTAAAAGGAAGTATGACATCAACGTGAGACCCTGTTGAATTGTTGAATTGGTAAGGCCCATTTATTCTTAACAGCACTAATTCTAATGACAGCTTTGCCTAATTTCCACTCAATCCAACTGTTCCTGAGACTCAATTTATGGCTAGAAATGCAGACAAGTATAATCAAAGGACTTGGAATTTTACTAATTGCTGTTAATAACCCAGATATGGAATTGTTAACATACTGTGAATATATGAATGTATCAGAATGACTCCCCATGTCCTGGTTTGCACTGATGTAGTCTGAATACTAGCAGGCTAGGGGTAAATGTTGCTTGGATTATAAGGTTAAATAGATTTTCTTACAGCTCAATGAGCACTGACTCATGACTTAATACAAGTTACTGAGCAAAAAGTCAAATTAGATTTCCAAGTTCATTTCTCAACAGATCAAGCTATGCAAATTCCAATGTTTCTTTTTATTTTAGCATAATTACTTTTTATATTAACATTAATGATACCCATGAGATTATTCAGTTAATCAAAACCTAGACTAGTTCTATAATCATGTTAACATTGACATTTATATCACTGAAAAACTCATGAATATATAGGCTATCTATAAAACTAATAATTCAAGAAGATGATATTTTGACTATTCCAGCCCCAGAATGTCCAAATCTCAGATTGTCAAGAGTTATGTAATTAACTATCAATACTGACAGAGGTGTGTATTATTTTAAGAAAGTGCAGTGACAAAGTGTGAAAAACTTCCTTATGTTAATTACAAAATTAGGTAACAAGTTTCAAAGTTGGTGTTGTTCCAAGAATCTCATTCAGGATATGGAGATATTCACAGTTTGTAAAGGAAAACTAGACAGTGTGAAAACAATCAAAGTTGTATAATTAGTCTAAGAAGTGTTGGGTAATTAAGGAAATATCTCTTAAGTTTGCCCATCTTTCTTGAATTACATACCTTGTTTATGTTCTCTGTATCTATTGCATGCTAATCGCTTATACTAATTAGCTCATAGGTAATGGCAATATAACAACTAACAGAACAGATATACAAGCCTGGGAAAATCTCAGATTGATAAAAATTTTACAAATTTGTTATTTAAATCAAAGGTGATTTTAAAAATAAAATCATAGAGTCTAAAATTAACAGGTAATATAACCTCCATGGTTTATAAGATTACTTGAATTACCAGTCTTTTTAAATATTTATGACTGATCAAGGAGCGTTCGGAACATGTGGCATTTTACCCATAGATTCAAACCTCAGTGAAATCTAGCATGGCTTTACTTTGGATAATGGGTAATCAGATAAGCAAGATAAAGGCAACTACCTACTGATAACTAAAAGCCAATTCATGGGAAAATATTTTTTATAATTTTTTAGACATGCTGTATTTATTAAGATTTATGACTTTAAATCATGCACCAAAATAACAGCTCAGATTGTTAGTCATAAAATCATACTTTGTTTTTTGAAACATGTACATAAATTTGCCTCTCTTTATGAGTACACATTCTTGACCGAAGCTTGAAATACTATTCAGATATTGTTCATAACTAGTTAAACGATTCTACATGTTACTGTTAGAATAGTTTCCGTCTGTTTTTCATATGAAAACAAACGTAGAACCACAATTGCGCCTGGGTATTGATTCTTAAGCTACTTGTTACGGTTATTGGTAAAATATGCTATAAAGTATAGAATGATTCCATGGAAAGACAAAGCCACCTCTAAAGATCTGATAATCATAAGATTTCATAGATTTCTGAATAATCTTAATATTCAGGGATTATTAGGAAAATGTTGGAAGTTAGTGTGTATTTAGAATTATGATTTTCTCGATCAGAATTTGATTACCATAACTCATAGAAAATTCTATTTTGAGTGGACAAAGTGATTTATCAACAAAATTGTTGGTTCAAGTTTTCAATATCTGAGAGATGATAATAGAATGTAATATCCAAAGGCAACAAGTTAAATCATGCTAAAAATGACAGCTGGTCGATGGTGAAATTCTTTATTTATCAGACGTCTCTGATCAAAGTCACATTTTACATGAAGTAGGTAATGAACTAAAAATATGACAAATATATAATTTACATCAGAACAGTATGATATTTTTTATCCCTTATTGGTTATGTCTAGCCTCTCCGTTCATATATCACTTCACTTTGAAAATAAAATGTAATAATGACAAAATAGAGGTTGATACTAAAACGGGAGCACCGTGAAGATATATTCATCAATTTGACATGAATTTTAACTATATAATATATTAAGTATCTGATAAAAGCATGTTGTAAATGAAAAAGTAATATTCTTCATTAGATAATTGCTATTTTCACTTGTTCGTTTTTTGGACATTTCCAACAATAATGACAAGTACACAAAATAATTCACCAAAAACAAATAAACAAGTTTTAGTTTTGCATTATTCAAGACAAATCGCTGGTTTGATCTATTGGAAGCAACAAGTCCAATGAGGTACAAGTGTGGGCCCCTTTCACCCATCTGCCAAAAATCAAAATGGTGGCCATTGAAAACAAAGGGAGACTTCAGAAGTTTAAAAGTTGCCAACTTTCTCACGGTAGATTTCTACATTATATATGCCACCAAAAGTGCTATATTTTCTCATACCACTAGTTGGTTACATGAAGATAACATTTAGATATTTCATAGACAAATCGTAGTTAGATTTTTTGGAGTAATTAGTGTCACCAACTAAGCTTTATTTGCCCCCCATAAAATGTACGGTGACCTACCTTTTACAATCACTGCAAAACTTAACACTAAAACTAGTGCAAGAACACCCAACCTATGCAACATAGCTGCGCCAGAAGTACTATCCAGTATTTATTCCTAACATATGTGATTCTTTTGTGGTGTATAATCCAGACTGCTAAGTGAAAATCCTAGTTTTAAACTCAAATTTCTTCTCCCGTGAAATCTAAAATTCTTCCCGACCTCTTCAACAAAGTTAAATGCCGATCTATTTGAGAAATCACTCCGCTCAAGTGTCCCAATTTGGCACTCTGAAATCTGAAATAAACACAGGTAGTTTAGTATAACATAGTATTTATAAATATATAACAGTTCATAATTTAGTATAGAAAAATTAATACTTTATAAATTTAATGCTCATTCGCTAAATATATATTAGAACTACTTTTAGCGGAAGTACAATTATCCTCATTTCACTTATGGTAATTGAACCAATTAAGAAGGCGTGGTTCGGTTTCCAGGTTGGTTTATTCATGGGAGGCCATGCCACAAACGCATGCGAATCTATTAATTGGCTTTTAGCATGTTTTGTTGACATTTTCTGGATGAAGAGTTTGGATTTGTTTGTTAATTATGTTAATTTCAATCAAAAGATTATGAAAAATAATCATATACACAAATTTTGAATATCTAGAATTTGGCAAGCCTAAACTGCCAATCCAAGACTTTTTTTTAATGATTATGACATTTATTTACATATCTATGATCTGTCACAAGGTACACCACAACAAAACAAAGAATTTTTGTTTCATTTAATGCAATCACATCCCCTCTCACACAAATAAATCTGTATAAGAGAACTATTAAAGATTTCACATCTACCCTTTCATCCCCATAATGTAAATGATAGTATGCATTTGTGATCCAATTAGTAATACATGTAAGTGACATTTTCATTTATAGATTTTACAGTGTTCTGTCAATCTTTAAACTTCAAGAAAGAATACTGAATCAGTTTGATTTGGGTTTAATTGTATCCGGCTGTACCTGAGATTTACATTCTTGAATAGGGAGAGAACTTTTAAGATGAAATCATAACTATTTGATGAAAAAATTAATAGACATATCATGTACTGTAGATTGCCAATAATGCAAATTTCAAGTAAGACATAACAATTGATGATTCATCAAATCAAAAATTAAGGCTAGAGATGAGTTATGAGTAAACTTCTCAAAGCGTGTCACAATTTTACAATATATTTTGCTGCTTATATTTCATGATTATACAACTTATTTTTTAAACTTCAATATTTTAATGAATTTGGACCATGTTGTGATTTTTGATAACTTTTTTATCAGACAGAATGATATCTCAATTGATAAAACAATTACATTAAAGATAACATTGGCAAGCATTGGAAAGGATTGCATCCAACATTTCAATCTATTCTTTATGCAATGTTAATACACATGATTTTTCCGGTAAATACAGAGCTTTGAGCATCACCTTCTTGTCTACTTTCCATTACACTAAACAAGCAAGATGCTAGGAATTACTCGAGTCTCTATTAGAGAAGGCGTTGGCCCTAAGTAACTAGGAATCAATCAGTGGTAAATAAAATCACTAATCGTCAAACAAAAAATTCAAACAAAACTTATTATATAAAGCATCATTATAAAGGCTGTACCCCATGAATTATGATATCTGCAAGTCTTTGAACAAAACCTTTTTAAAATAAAATTTCTTATTGGCATGTTTGCATCCTCAACTAAATTGTGCTACTTGAGAAATTTATCTTCACTGGCCTGACATCTATTTATGAAAATCAAAATTAGAAACACGAGAAACTTCGGTAACATTCGAGACTACACGAGATTACTCCATTATCGCCCGCAAAAAAGAAACGTGAATTTTCTAACTCTTCAAATATGGTCCGTAAACTCAAGTTTCACGAGAAGAAACTGCTCAAAAAGGTTGATTTTATATCATGGGAAGTTGATAACAATCTGCATGAGTTAAAAGTGATGAAAAAATACTACATACAAAAGAGGGAAGACTACACGAAGTGAGTTCGATTTTGTGATTTTATTTTTTGTAAATATTTTTTTCCCATGTTTGTAAATATATTTATAACCTTGGCTTACTGAACACAGCTGGCTCAAAAGCCAGCTGAAGCACCGTTAGAATATACCGTCCTGTGAAGCGGTTTTCTCCAACTTCCAGCAGGCGCGCTGGAATAAGAAACGGTATTTAAGAAGATAATTGAATGTAACTTGCCCTTTTCATCACGCGTGGTGACAATAAGTCCTACTTCTTGTGTAATTGCAGTTAAAATGGAGAAATTCCAAATCTGGCGCGCACCATTTTTTAACTTTTTACGCATGCGTTCACATGCGCATTGTACTTTTATGCGCATGGGTATTACCGCTGAGAGATCACGTGACTATATCATATTTAGCTAGCGCGAGTTATTTTGTAGCAAATTTTTACTTTCGAAAGTCACGAGATCTCGCGTGACCTAAAATGGCTGGAATCTAAATTCAAAAGTTTTGTTGTCTACAAGAACATTGATTTACTACAACAACAGACTGTTGAAGGAACAAAATAAGGTAACAACAAATAAATTATGTATTGATTCAAATATATAGCGTATTATAAACGCTACTCAGTACAGCGTTTAGTCAAAATGGGCTCGATTTATTCTTTTCAAGTTCACATACATCCAACTTCCCAGAGCTGACTTCTGTCAGCTCGGTAGAGTAAACCTTGGCAGTACTAGTCTTCATATCACTGCGGCGGGAAAATCTATATAGTCTCAGCTTAATTGACGAGATTGGTTCTTGTCTTGCGCCATGCACGTCACATGATTGGAAAATCAAAAAACAAAATGTAAAATATACAAAACTCAGGCCATCCAATAGATCTAGTTCAACGTCGTTAAACTCAATAATGGCGTTCTTTATTATTAGGAATTTTCTTGTGGCCATTATTGAGTTTAACCTCCTTACTATTCTTTCCTTTGATGCAAGTTCTGAATCCATCGAAACCATTTTTCCGCGATAACGTGCAACTGATACTTGACAATAATATAAAAACACATAACATCAAGCGATTTAACACAATATTATTGTGTTAAATGTTCATTTATACGAGTAAAATGAGGCTACACTTACCAATCTCTAAAGTGACATTTCCGCATGTCTGTCATTGTGTCTGTTCGTCTGAGTGTCCCGGATCGTAAAATTAAACTACCAGCGAAACGAAATTGTTGTCAAATAGATTGATAATTATTATCGCGATTACTCGGGATAAAAAGATCAATTTTGAGGATAACAGGTATCTTTGATTAATTTATATAGCGCGTATATACATGCAAAATAGTTATTAATTGCAAACCAACTGTTCGTTAATGCAGTGCCGTGATGACGGTTAATTCCTGAAACGATTTGCAATTTCGATGTTACCGAAACTGACCGACATTTTCGTCATATTCCAAACCTGTCTCCAATATTTTCGTAATTATGCATCAATAGGGTCTAAGGGGGATACGGGACGGGGTGTATGTGTTTATAAGGTATGTATGCATGCTTGAATCACATTCTTTGTGTAATATTGCCATGTTTTCAGGGTTCAATTAGTTCCGCTTGTCGAAACCTGCTGAACGATTAAATTAACGCATCAAAGGCAAAATGGTCATGGAGGTTAGACCTAGCCGGGCCATATCACATGTCAGATAAGAAACGAGGCCCGGGCTAGGTCTAATGTTGTTGGACTAGCCATCCAACTATCCCGCAATTTGAATATTTGTCACGCATTTGATAGAAATTTTTTTTGGGTTGAATACGCATTTTACCTGAGTATTTTCAAGCAAAAAAATACAGCCTCAAAACAGTCTTTTCACGCGGATAGATCTACTGTATATATCACAGATATATTTCGTACCTAAACCCCCCCAAAAAATTTTGGTTATATACAATAGAATTTGAACCAAGGTGTTCAAATTGTGGGCCAAGGTGTTCAGATTTGGACCAAGGTGTGCACAGTTTGAATAAAGGTATTCAACATTTGTAAGTCACTCATGTTAGGTGTTCCAAAGTTGACAGGCCTGACAACTAAGGGATGTGTTATCTAGACATTATTGGGAAGTATGAAGTCTCAAATCACCATGGTCTGGGAATGGTGATAGAAAATCAAGATTCCATTTATTTATGGTGAGCACGGTATATTTCCCCATGTCAAACTTAAGGTGCTATGGAACTTAACAGGAAATGACAAAACAGGAAGTGACAATTTATTTTGCATTTTTAGACATTTTTTGAACAAAGATAACAGAGTTCTGTTTTGACCTGCTGTCAATTCAACTAGTTCCAAATACCATTTACAGGTCCAGGATCACAATGTTCATGGTCAGAATGACCCTAAACATGATGAAATAACGTTTTCAGCCCTATGAAAATGTGACTGAAAAATAGCTAAAAGTAGGAGAGGTCACTGAACAGAATCTTTTGAATTTTTCAGAAAATGTGCCCAATATATTGCTCTAAATGATACAATCTTTGAAAATTTGATATCATTCATGGAAAAATAAAAAAAATGAAAAAAATGATGACTGTCATTTTTGTTTAAGACAATTTTCTAAAATTTCAAAGATTGTATCAGTTGGAGCATTATGTTGGGCACATTTTCTGAAAAATTCAAAACATTCTGTTCAGTGACCTTCCCAAGCTCCTACTTTTAGCTTCTTTATCAGTCACACTTTCAAAGGGCTAAAAAGGTTATTTCATCATGTTTAGGGTCATTCTGACCATGCACATTGTGATCCTGGACCTGTAAATGGTATTTGGAACTAGTTGAATCGACTGGAGGTCAAAACACAACTCTGTTATCTTTGTTCAAAAAATGTCTAAAAATGCAAAAAAATTTGTCACTTCCTGTTTTGTCATTTCCTGTTAACTTCCATAGCACCTTAAGTCAAAGACTGCGGAGTGCGGACAAATTTTTTGTCCCCTCAGTTTTATGTGATTATGCGCCCAAAGCACAATGGTGCATAATTTACCCTGGTCTGCATAATCCATACACGTCACGAGCGCATAATGTTGCATAAAAGGCAAAAATCTCTAATTTCTTGCAATAAATGTCATCTTGGCCTTTACAAAAAATACAAGATACCGTATTCTCTCCAATAAACACACAGTGTGTTTACAAAATTCTCCTGAAGGAGATGTCTCAAATGACTGCGAGTGTTTAGTAATGGCGAGTGGCGACGGGTCATAATTGACTTTCATTATAGATTTCAACTCATTACTTAAAGGTTATCATGAACATAGTTATAGTTCTTAATATTCCGGAGACACGTCTGTAACAGCCTTATGCACAAAAATGGCTCTATCAATAACGGTAAGTGAATTATTCAATATTAAGTCTATTATCGCCTGCTCGATTAAATTGTATTTTTTCTTGACTTTTGTTTTTCAAGTTACCAGTCTCTCTTGGAAAAGTCGTGTGTGCAATTATTGAAGTGTGTGCATCTATAAGAGATAATTTGGTATAACATAAAAAACAGAAATATTTTTCGTACATATTTGTTTTGCGCATGCACAGTGACAGAGTGTATTTTGCAGATCCAAGATCTACTACTGAAATGGCTTAAGTTTCGGAACTGAAATCACTGGAAATTTCAAATGCTACTTCCTAAATTTCCATCAATTCAAAACCACCATTTTGATTTCTCACAAGAAAATGTCAACTCGGGGATATTAAAAGACAAGTTCTGATCGACAAAGAAACATTTGATAACTTACAGATTTACTCATACCAGATACCAGTCAAATTAAACTGAAACGATGGGTGCTTGGTGTACGTTCCTGAAGCAGAAATTACAACAGTACAGGCTCTATGTGTCTTATGAGTATTCACCTTTGTCTCTTTTACCCAGTCATCTTTGAAATACTTGATTCTCCATATAAAACACATTTGTTTCCCTGTAGCTTGTACTAGATTTAGTTCACACATTTGTTTTAAAAACTAGAAACAATAGGATCTTATAGAGCTGTCATTCAAAGCTCTGCTCGAGTTTTAATCAGATCCTATCTACGCCCCTGCAGTGAGCAAATAAGTAAAAGCTTAAGCTTTTTATTATTTTGTTATAAAAAACAAAGGGTACATGTTTTTTATGTATGATAACTTCCCGTTGATCTTAAGACTTGAATAACATCATTGTGAAATTTACAGGGCACCTTATAATCAACATCTAGTCATCTGGACTACATGTACATGTCACCATCCTGTTCCTGTGGTCCCAGTGCTTCGCCAATGCATCCTTGTTGCATATTTTACTAATTAGCTTGTAGAAGCCTGTAAATTTCTGATTGGCAATGTATGCTGAATTTTAAGCCTTTTTCCTCACTGATTTTCACTTTAATCATTCTCTTGTGTTTTATTTTTTCAGATATAACAAACTTTCCCGTCACATACGAGAGCTTAGCAGAAAAATTAAGGAGATAGATGTTAAAGATCCATTCAGGACTGAAGCAACTTCGCAACTATTAGAAAAATTGTAAGTATATTCTACATGAGATTAGGTGACAAAAATAATATACAGGATCAAATCCTACGTGTCTTTTGTTTTAAGTCAAGTGCCCCTTGCTTTGATCATAACAAACCAAAATAATCTCAAAATAAATAAGTTTTTCATAGATATTACAAAAATCCATGTTGACAAAACAATTGATATTTGAGATCCTCTCTCAAAATTAAATTTACTTTGTCAGACTGACACATCCCCCTCCATCTCCCACTTTCCAACAGTATACATATATATATATTTATACTTTAAAATCCCTTCAATTACCTACATGCACATTTGAAAAAAAATGGTATGAATCCTATTCAAATATGCAAAAAGTGCCTTTTATCCTTTCATTTTGGCATTTTTAGTGTGAATCGTGATATGTATAAATTTTATACTATTGATATAGTTTTTTAGATTACATGTGTTTTTTATAGATTGTAAGATACAGTTGTATAAATTATATTAGAGAAGACTCAAATTAAATCAAATATCAAAAGATGAGAAGAAATATTTGGTTTCTCTTTCCAGTTCTTTGCTTTTATGTTGAAAATCATTCTGGCATTGTATTTGTACTGATGTCTTAAAGAATTTTTATTAAAGATCTAATAGCAAAGGTTTTGCAAAAATAAATCAATGTAGTATAAAACAAATGTATGTATAATGAAGAAATAAATATATAATGAAAAAATAGATATCTGTTTGTAATATTGGTATAAACTTAAGATTAAAAAGTGTCACTATCTCTTTCACTTTTCAACAAATAAAGGCTCACGTGACATGTGACGCGGGGCAGGCAATTTTGATCTATCGTAGACCATATCAGTATCAAATTGCTGATATTTCAACCTCGTCTTGCGAGGCCATTTTGATTTGAAACATCTTGAATTTGGTGTCAAAATGAAGCTGGTCACGCCCACTTTCAGAGTTATCAATGAATCATTTACTACGACTACTATATTCATTTAGGACGCGTGTAAAGTTAACCAATCAGAAAGACAATTGTTCCATGTATGGCAGTTCATTAACATATTCAGTGTTTACTACTGCTTTTCGCGTCATGACAACACGAGTAGTAACCAATCAAGATGCCGTATTTTATCACGTGAGTTCAGAGTGACACGCTGTCTGAGGTGATCGCGATGTTGAACAATTTCTTCTCGGAATTTGTCCAGAGAAATCAGCGATTCTAAATTAAGGTAGGATCTGCCATTTTTTTCCTGTACAAGTTATAACTTATCTCTATCGAATCCTAAAGTTTTGGAAGAAGATATGAAGCGTAGGTTTAAAAACGAAGCGATTAATTTGACGATCTGATTTTGCAATTTGCAATGGCCAATTTACTGCAAGTCCAGTGCATGTATTTGACAAGAGATAGCGCCAAGTCTTGTATCTAAATGCTTGTTAAGCCACTCAAAAACAAGATCCATATTTTCTAAATTTGATAACTTTGCAGAAAACCTGTTTACATTATCTGTTTTCCGCGTCTAGATTCAAACTGAGTATGATAATAGGATCGCTGGAATCTTCAGTCAATGGCAACAGGTCTTCATTCCAGAACTCACATTTTTAGTTGATTCTCCGTCATAGTTCTTGTCTAAAGTCCCCATATCTGCTCTCTTACTGCCATACTTGCACACATTTCCCCTCCTTAAATTGTCTTCATTCAAATTACATCCTCTCGCTGATTTATATAGCCATCTCCCAGAACCCGGGAATCAGAATCGCTGATGTTTGCCATATTGAACATATTATATGTACTGTAATATATGTACATTGCCTGCTACGCGTAATGGTCACATGACTAGCGCGATACAGGAAAAATGGGGAATTTCGAAACAACAATTTTTGGGCACTTTTATTGCAAATTTCAGGTATTTATAAAGTGTTTGTGGTATAAAATATAATCCACAGACATAAATGAACATCCAAACTACATATTTCATTAAGTTTTGGAGCCTTTTTTGCTCTTAAATTAACATCTTTAAAAAGCTAATAATAGAATAATAAAAATGATACGTTGATTTTTGATTTTCTTGTGATATTATATTTCTTGATTTGTCCTTATATCTACCAGTCTTCCCATTTACTCACGCGTTACACATGTATAATTATAATCCATTGATAGATAAAGAAGAATCCCTCAAAATATCCTCTAATAAAAAAAGTATTATTTCGACATTTTTATCCTTTTATAAAAAAATAAATTTCATTTTTGCAATTTTTGTATAAGTGAAAATCAAAAATCTGTCACTTGTTTCAAAAGTAGTTTTTTATGTCCGAGTTTGTTTTTGATTTGAAATCACTTATTATGTAAAAAACAAATCAAACTTGAAAAAAGATAGTTTCCAAATAATGGTTAAGCTTTTTGTTACCTTGCTGTGTTATCTGACGGCTCCTCTGTAGAGATAAGCTGAACAAGTCGCGTGCTTCTGTTTTACCTGCTCTCTGAGGTACACCTTCCAAAAAGTGATTCTGTAAGCCATTGTGACCTTTGAATGTTTGCATAGGGTACCTAATAACATGATACTTTTGTCATTCATATATCAAACTTCATACTCTTCTCCTTAAGTGATTTTGCTATATTTGGTATATTAAGTTAAGGAATTGATGGTTGTTGAATTTTTTTATAAGATATGTTTTCTTCTCAGCCAGACACACGCTTGGCTCACGTCAGTAGATTACCTATTATGATTAGCACACCTGAATCGAACAGACGGGGAGCCTCATTTGGCTGTCACTTTACATCCATGTTTTATTTTATTCATGAGATATGTTTATTAGGGGTTTGTAGCGATGCTGATTGGTTTTATGAAGGTAGTGCTATCATGCTCTTTGAATTTGGAAAAATAGAGTTTGATATATCATAATTTGAACAGTCTTTGACGAGATATCATTCACTGGAACAGTTTTGTTTGTTGTCGTTTTACGATACTTTACAATCAGTGGAAACACGCCTGATCTGTTGCCTTTCATAAACAGCTGCAACTTAACACTAATGTAGATTTATTTTGCTTCTTGCTGTCAGATGTTCTCATTTCAATTAATGTGTTACATAATAGGAAGCATTGGCATTTTGAAAAAAGTTAAAATGTGCTCTGTCTTCGCAAACTCAAAGAAATATTACAGCTCTCCTTTTTGGTGATTTACCTGTTGAACCAAATCCTTTCATAGGAAACTTGCACCATTTCTCCTATTGGGAATTTCTCTGGGATATATGCCTATGAGAACCTATAGTTAACCTCACCTGGACTTTTTTATGATAATCGGAAGTGTAGTTTCATTGATTTATTTGTCAAGATACTATTTCTAGTATTTGCTGTCTATATGTTCTTTCAACTTTTGGTAACTTTCACATTAAATAGCATACTATTGGTGAATAACGAGAAAATGGACATGGTCCAAACACGGTCCTTTATCATATTTGTAGAATGATCTGTAATCTGTACCCTAAGCATAATTTTGAACCTCTGCCCCGGGATTCCATGTTTGCAGAGCACGGACGGAATTTGCCTTTGCCCGCAGAATTGCAGAATCAACTATTTTGGTCAATCTCTGTGGAATTCTCCACAGAATCAATATATTTTCTAAAAGTTTATATATAGTCAGTGTTATCTGTAACTATTTGACATATTTTCTCTCAAATCGGATCCCTTGTAGAAATAACCCAAAAATAACCAAATTATGTGAAGTGGAAATTTTAAGCTTTATGGTTTGATTTCTGTCTCTAAATGTAGCATGCAGTATGTATATATAAAAGGATTTATTTGTACTGATGCCCTAATAGGGCCAAATGTACATCCAACAATAAAAAAATTACAATAGAAATATTTAAAAGATTGGTGGTTGGCGATCGGTGATTGGTGTCTGCAACAAATTCTCACAACTTCCAGTAACTTAAGGCCAAGGCGAAGCTAAATTAAATAAAAAGTACAAAGAATGACTGCCATATTTTTTTGATAAAGACACATGTTTTTAAAATCTGTTTACCTTGTATATGAATTGTATATCTTGACTAAAGAAACATGTAAAAGTTAACATCACACATAAACACATGAATTGGAGGTGCATGGATCCCCAAAGCTAGCATGAAGAGTGTGAAGTGAGGCTAATTTCAAAGTTTCAAGGAGTAGCCTTGCAACAGTCACATATTTGCAAGAGTCCAAAATTTCCACAAATCATCTTACCTTTCCCAGGAACAACGAAGGAGCTCGAGCATGAAAATGTGCACTTCTTGCATTGTTAGAGTATAATAAAGCTCAAACCATTGTGAATTCTAAATATTTCATGTTCCCCATTTTGTTTGCCGGAACTTTAATGTCACCTTAACAAATACTGTTTAGACTGACTTCAATTTTTTTCAAAATCATCAGTTTTCAAAAGTTCAAATCTGACTTTATTTGTAAGATTTGACCTTCATGGTCAAAAAAGGTTAAAAGGTCAAAAAGGTATTTTTTCAACTTGCTTCAAATTGACCAATTCTTTTTTTCAGAATCATCTACAAGTTCTCGAAACACAATGACAATGACTTCAATGACATTCTCAAGGTCAAAAAAGATTTGACCTTCAATGACCTTCTCAAAGTCAAAAAGGTCTCTTTTCATCTTGCTTTTGCATCTTTGACCAATTTTCTTTCAAAATTATCTTCAAGTTCTAGAAGTTCAGATCTGACTTTAGATTTGAGATTTCACCTTTCAATGACCTTCTTAGGGTCAAAAGGTCTCTTTTCAACTTGCTTCAAATTGACCAGTTTATTTTTTCAAAATCATCTACAAGTTCTCAGAAATTCAAATCTGAAGATTGGACTCATAATATTGTGAGCAACTAGGTGGTGACATTTTGTCATGTTAATGCCTTGTCTAAAAAAGCTTGGGCCAAATCTTCATTGATGCATGGTGAAATTCTTTAAATCCTTGGTTTATAAACCTAAAATGGTCATAATTTATCACAATATGAACATCAACATAGTCATTCCATAGTATGCCATT